TGACTTTGAAAACATTGTTGCATATGTTATAGTAGCATATACTTATCTTTTTAATTAGTCCTTGAGATATTAAACCTGAAAGTCCTGCCCCACTCGGTAATTTAAAATTGTTCCCACATTTGTAGAGGCTGGCAAATCCCAAACTGGCCAATTTGGTCTCTTTTTGATCCAAGCCCTAAAGAGCATAAAAGTTCTTTTAGAGTTTTATAAAAATAAAATTAAACTAACAGAATGATGAACAACTATTTGGACCCAATCTTACCCTGGTGACAAGTTTGTCCAATTTATTGAGGAACTGTTGGGAGCAATTAATGGACCTGTCTTCAAATGTGTTTCTCTCTAAGAACAAGTCGAGAGGCCGGACATCTCCACTCTTCAACGCTGCGCTGATTATGTTCTCCAACTGCACAGAAACATTTAAAGCTTTAGAATACTGTTACTTTGATAATTAATACTTGAATAACCTTGAAATAAACAGATGCAGACACAACCTGAGGGCTCGAGCTTGGAGCCATTCTGGCTTCCTAACGAACACTTTCTGTTCTTGACCTGCTAAATCCTCAGGATGAGCTGAGAAAACATACACCTGTCAATCACAATGTAGGCAAGCATTATACATGTAGTATGGTGACTTTATGAGGTTACAATTAGAGATTATTTAAGCCCCACTCTAACAACTTGTTTTTTATATATATATATATATATATATATAGTAAACCATTGTCTCATGTGGGAAGCTGGCATCATACTGGCTCAACAATTAAATGGAAATGAGGTGGAACATATTCTAAAGCAATATACAAATAATAAAATTATTTATTCACAAAATTTGAGCATATGTATGACTAACTTATTCATAAATATTCTTAACATCTATTGATATGCAGTGGCTTAAGAAAATATGTTCGTTCGAAACGGAGGACACCGCTGTCTCGGAGAGACTGTTAAAAATGTCAGCTAATGACATTAAAAACAACATGTGTAAACACTAAGAAAGTAAGCCTACTTACTCTTAGTATGTTCCATCATTCACCTAGAGTAAATCAGCCTAAAATAATTTACTTAAGCGTACATAAAAACACAGAGCCAATTTAATATCTCCGAAACCTACTTTGCTAGCTTATCGACAACTTCTGACAGCAGCGCCTTCACCTTTTGGGTTAGATAACAATTAATCTAACCCAACAAGCATAACGGAACTGAACGGGTGAAAATACGTCGATAAAATAACCATTACATTGTGTTAATTGTGAGCAACTTACCGTACCGTTAAAATCACCCACACAAAAAAGAAAAAAAAAGTATATTTTTGACCGTTATTTTATTTTTATTTTTTTTTTTTAGCTCAAACGGCTATCAGGAGACCCGCGAAATCTACGTCAATCTCGCACGCGCGAATCGAGCAAAGGTAGGTGGTATGTCTATTTTTGTAATCCCTCGGATTCCAAGACTCTTGAAGGTAGCGACCAATGCGGTATGTTAGACACTTAAAAGTTGTGTTTTACCGCTGAAGACACCGTCACTTCCAACACTCCCACTCTTATCAACATTGACTTTGCTTGAGCGTATTCTCATAAATTTAGATATCCGTTAAAGATGTTCAGAAATAATTATAGAGTTTTGTTCAGGCACATAAAATTTAGGCATAATTTTTTTGCTTAGGGTTTTTTGTTATGATTCGTGACGTCAGAGTTAGGACCATTATAGTGTGATATTTCATGTCTATGGTCAGGAGGGGTATCTAGTAGCGAATGTCGTTAACAGAAAAGTAGGACGTATGTTGAGGTTCGAGTACCTTACCTTCGCCATATTGTGAGGGACGTGCAAATCTACAAGGTCACCATATTGTGATAGGGAGGTTAAAAATTAATACTGAAAAATACGTTAAATTTATTTTGATAAATAGCTTTTAATTATAATGTAAATATAATTTTTAGTATAAATAAGAGCGACGTTTTGACAAAGATAAGCAATTTATATTAATCACAGCAGAATATAAATGTGCCTAAAAATATCTTACCTTATTTAACTTCAGATAAGCAGCAAATACACTTAATTATTTTTGAATAACAGTAAAAGAGTGGATATATATATATAGTTTTGATCTGATAACATCAAAGCAGTATTTTTTTTTATAGATTTTTAATGTATTTATAAAAGTACCACTCACAATATACGGTCCAGCTGTCCATGCAGAATTTCTTCTTAGTGTCAGTTTTTAGGGATACATTTAGGAAGCACCATCATCTTTTACTCAATAATATATTCCAAGACAAACACAGACAGCATGTTTAATCAGTAAACATATAAAGAAAGTATTGAAAAAAAGAGCAACTAGAAAAAAAAAACTATTAGAATTTCATTGAACAGATAAAGTGTACGGACAAATGCTTCAATGAATCAGAAACTTAAAGCACTTTCTCCCTCTTTCATCCATTACTTTTTCTGTGCTTAGAACAAAAAAATCTAAATTGATCCAAAAATTGGAATTTGCAGGTTAGATCTGATATAAAACTGAACATCTGCATGTTGACCAGGGAAAAGTTGATTGTTGCATCTTTAAATTTAACACCTACAATTTTTGCATAATTGTTTTTATTTGGAAAATGCTCTGGACATTTATTTATTTAATGGGATCCAAGTTAAAATTTACACTGAGAGAATATTGAGCAACACATTTTGCAAGAAATCATTTATTCCATCAGATATCCAGCAAGGTGACCTCCCCTTTTAAAAGTAAATGGAAATATAGCATATATAGAGACACACACGTTTATCTATTTATTTATTTAGTGCAATTTTTAAAACTACAAATGCCTTAGTGCTCAATCTCCTCTACCTATAAAAGTGCTCGTAGCATAATTTTTAGCATAATTTTGTTAGCAGTGCTTAAATCAACAACATATCCTCTGTAGGTATTCTCAGTATGTATTGCTTCTAGATTTAAAGTGCTCAGATTGCATTCCCTCCCCCCCCATGTAGTTTGCATCCTAAATGAAATGCACCATGCTGTCTTCACATTCTTTAGGCACTGTTAGCTTGTAGTTTTGGCAGACTAATTTATAATTATTTCCATTGTTGTTGTCCCAATATTCAACCCCACAAACTTTGTATTGGATAGCAAACTCCAGCTGCGCTCCTGGTCGAAGCGAGGGAGGGACTGGTAGATGGAAACGAAATGTATCACAACTAATTTCCTGCCCTCTTGCTCCTTCTCCGTTGCAGGTTTTGGCGACAGTGGAGACCCAGGAAGCCTTAGTTTCCGCAGAACTTTTCCACTCCGTAAATGAATACCGAACTTCAACTTCTTTCTCAAAGTCTAAATTTAGGACTTGTGTGATTCCGATAATGCCCAGTTCAAAGCACAAGACTCTCTCCAGACACACTTTCTGTTCATGGAGACGCTGCAGGAACTCTGGCTGGTCACCGGGCTGTTGGTCAAAAACCGGCTTTAGGTATGGCAAGTTAATCTCAAGATGCCTTCCATCTGTCATCTCAGCACCCATCAGGAGTCTGAAGGTAACGTGTTGTGGCACAAATGGGTCCTCGCCTGATTTAAAAACCCTAACGTCTTCCAGGTCCAGTCCAAGAGAGTCGACAAACCTTACGCCAACACCTCTGCTCTGTTTCTTTTTGTTCTGGGTGGCAGAAGGCAGAGAGCGAGACCGTTGCCGGATGATGGGCTTCGGCGTAGGCTCACAGGTGAGGAAGCTGTGGGAGTCTTGTCCTTTTGGCCGAGTAACTCTGGGACTTGGCGGGCGGATTGGGACAGGCTTCCTGACGGTGTCGGGCTTGTCAGCTTGAAGCATTTCGTTCACCTTTATAGTCAAGAAGGACCGAGACCCACCGCTGCAGCTGGACAAAGGCTGTTGAGATTTGGGGGGGAGTATCCTCTCATGTCCAAGGAACCACCCTCTTTCCATGTTCTCTGCTGGCCTTTCTGACCTATATAAATACACACTATAATTAGTTTTGAAGCAGAATCACTTAGTGTGTCAAATTAAGTTTATAATTCTGCTCTAAGCAAAGTGTTAAGGATCGAAATTAAACTTTTTTTTTAAAGAAGTTTTTTTTTTATGAAACTGTACTGCCATAAACTTCGAGTGGGCGTGTATGCTGGTAGTACGTGCCCGACTGCACAATCTGTCTGAACAGCTGCAGCAGTGCTTGGAAATGCCCTTAATTCATAAGGATCAAACAAGCAAACGTGCATTAAACAAGCAAACTTTGACCTCACCTCAACACACACAGATGTGGAGCGTGTTGCATGCAGGCTGCAGAAACACTGTCTCTTATAGCTCGATCCTCCATTTAAAGGAATGCGTGGCAGAATTTCGGTTTGCGCAACGTCGTTCAGACTGCGAGGATGATTTCGAGCATGTTAAGTGTTAGTTCGACTTATAAACACTAACAGTTCGCGTGCGCCCAGCGTAAAGTCGATGGAGATCGGCTAACAAGCGCGCAGTTGGGAGGAAATATACAGTGCGCAGATTCATTGGGTGCGCACCATTTGCCAGCTGGCATGGAAAACGGTGCCAAAGTAGGCGTGGCCTGGGAGCATTTCAAACGAATCATAAACTCCTTGATTTTGATGTTTACTAGGTAATTTATTTTTCTAAGACAGTCGTAGAACAATTATATTATAATAATTATATCATAACTGTTTCTCTTTTCAAGTATGCACTCTCAAAAGGGGTTGGGTTGGAACTGCAAAACATATGATTCTAGCTTCGAATAACTTATTCATATGACTGTACGCATGTAGCCTTTGCATGTATGAGGCAGCATGCCTTATACATGTCAGATTCATTTTGATTGTCATAAAGAAAGTGTCTCTTCTAAAGAAAGCAGTAGAAAAATATTGAATCCAATTTCCTTCCTTGTACATTTCCCATTAGTTGATCAGGCCATCATAATGTCTCCTTTGGACCAGCTCTTGAGACAGCTGAGTACTGAAAGCCCGGAAGAGAGACACCAAAAAAAGCATGAACCAGCAAGGACCCAGACCGTGCAATGAATTTCCTACCAACTGGCAAATACTGGTATTACACGTTATCAAATCCAGAGGACTCTAAAGCATTCAGACAGATCCTAACGACATTAAATCATTTACCCATACATTCAAATGCCAATGGAGGTACGCTACAATGTAGCCAAAAAAGCACCAATGCTGCTTGGCCCTCTGACTACCACCAGCAGGCAAGGCAGGTCTTTAAGGACACAACAAGGACACAACGCTCGAGATGGATGGCGAAGAGGCTAAGCCCCATCGATTACAGGATGACCTCCTACCACCACCACCATACTACTGATTTGGTGTGTTTCCTTTTTAAAGCAGAAGTCTCTACATCTGTCACCAGAGCTTTGCCAGACAGTGTGGGAAGCCATACTCTTCTCAAATGACTTGTAAATGTCCACTTCTACCACATGACTGTGATAAACATAGCAGATTGTTTCCTTTCTTTCTTTTTTTTTTTTTTTTTTTTTTTTTTTTTTGCATAACAAGATAATAATTATCCAGTAAAGAATTTGATGTGTGTGTATCAACAAGCAGGTGAAACATAGTACTTTAGTTCAGGTTACTGCTAAACTGAAACTAAAGTAGCTGACAGGATAAATAGCTGACATTTATCCTGTGAGCTATTAATGATGCTATGAACCAAGATCCTTCAGACAGATCCTAACCTGACCTTCACTTCAGAGAAACCCCGCCCAAACCGCCCCGTTATGTCTTCTGGCCGAGTGATTCGCCGGCTGACTGTTAAGAAACGTGCCCACTGATGTTGCCTGGGTGACTGAGTAGCTCAAGACTGATTGCCAAAGGTGTGCATCTTATTTTTCTCTTCCTGCGTCTATTTAGGGGCCTCAAAATAAGATTTGTTGCATCTCCAGTGTTTTAAAGTGATAATTGGACGCTTTTAAACAGCACCCGTGGTGGATTTTGATCTCGATCACTGACGCTTACACTTCAAGTCCCATGATGCACTCCGGCGGCTCACTTCGGCACAGGCAGCGAGCCAGTCAGCAGCAGCAGGTAAACAAACCCATCTCACAGGGAAACAAAGCGTCTGCGCTGCTTCTGCTTTGTTGCATTCGTAATGATGAAAAGGGTGACATTGGAGTCGGATATGCCTTTCCTTGTCACAGGTTAATTGCGAGTAGAGCCAAAGCGGCATCGTGTTGGAGCAGCGACGTAGCGTCGAGGACCAAAAAACAGCAGTTCGTGTGTTAAACCTGCAGCGGAAGAGGAGAGGCTGGTGTCTTCGCATGATGCATTGCAGCACCTCGGAGAAAATGGGTGATTTTAGCCGCGTCCTCAGACGAGGCTGTCTGATCAGAGATGTCGGCTGGCTTCTTTAGCTACCGTGCAAGACAAGATCCGTGCTGGACTCCAGACGCAGCGTCCCATGTGGTGCAACATGGGCCCCATCATGCAGGAGCGCACGGCTTCCACGACACTGAAGCGCGTCGTTTCCAAGGAGAAGATACGAGTTAAGAATACCGAAAATAGCGGGTCACTTACCAGGTAGGCATTTTCTACACTGAACGGGACTGAACGTTATCTTATGGATTGTATTTTTCCTTAAAGACGTGCCTGATGCTATTTTCTGTTTCACAGCTCAAAGAAATGTAACAAGACCACGAAAGCAATGAGCCAAATGAAAAATGGTCTCCCGGGACCAGATAAGGATAAGGACACAGCAGCCCTACAGAGGGTATGTGACTGGCACCGTTACTAATTAATATGCAATAGGTATTAATATATTATAACAGGTTACTACTGTTATCACTGCCCAGCAGCTGAGATATACACAGCAGTGGGCCAGATTAGACTGTCCAAAAGTTACACCTTTCATTCAGCACAGCATTGGGTAAAAAGTAAGCTCAGACTAGAACTGATTATCTTAACACCTGTTTGACACCCACCTAAGGGTTTCCAACGGGCTTTGCTGAGTTGGTTGTATTAAGTCAGGTCACAGGGCTCTCATTCAAGAAGCCTGCATAAGGCCAGGAACAGGTGGTGTCCCTTCAGCATGAATGACATCCTTATGCAGCCAACAAACGCACACCGGCCGAGTAGTGCATAGTGTAGCCGCGCTGCCTGAATGAATTCACGCTTCCTCATTTTACAATCAGAAAACTTTATATAGGTTTTGAGAGGTTTTTTTGATACAAACATAAGGGCTTCACAATTGCATGTGAAGTGGAAGGAAGATTATAAATATTCTACCAGTTTTGGACATCTAGGGATTGATAGATGTGGTGACTCTTCCTTGTGATATCATTAAAAATCAGCCTGATTCAGTGGAAAGTTCTACCACTGGTTCTTTATTTATTTATACCAATAACCTTTGACCTTAAGCATTTAATTGTGGCTCAGACTGTATGTTTGGGATTGCTTATTCCACGTGTTTGATGTGTTTCCCAAGTGTTTCACACTGAATACACAACTTCTTGTGTATTCAACAATCACTATTTTTAGAGTGCACACATAATTGTTCACATGTCTACAGATTCTCCAACCTGAGCAGCAAATCCTTTTTTTCTCCTCCATGCAAGGAGATTAGTGCTCTCCTTGTCTGGTGTCTCAGTGTAGTGTTGGAATTGAACTGTACTCTTTTCATTTTCTGATAATGGATTGAACAGTACTCTGAGTTATTTGGAGCTTGGCATATTACTTCATAGGAGTGAGAATAATTTTGGGTTGTAATGACTTTTCTGCAGGGTGCTCAGTCTAAAGGTGGTAGGATGAAGTCAGGTGCGTCTCAAAATGCAAGCAAACTCACAAGGTAAGAGATGAAAGCGGCGTGTATAATTTCTAAGTGCGTTCCTTCAGGTACATTAAATCCCTAATTCCTCCAACGACTTCTCCCCCACTCCCTAAATCCATCTGTCTCTTCTCAGCCCTGAAGCAGAAGGAGACTGTAGACCTCAACTTCGCAAGCAGTCATCTACACACAGGAAAGAGGAGAAACGAGAAAATCAGCGACTGTCACCGTGCGGCAACGAGCTCCTCCCAAATCGCCAGGGGATGGGAAAAAGTCGTCGAGCGCTCTCTCTGCCTATTTCTCCAATATCAGGACTACGGATGTCGCCGTCCCACCCGCTAATGCATTCCCCGGCTCCGACCCCAGAAGCACTGCAGCAGCACTACAACAACAAGGAGGACGACTCTGACAGCGCTAGTGATCTGTCAGACTCTGAGCGGCTGCCTGTTTTGCCCTCGCCGTGCACCCCGTGCACCCCGCCCCACCTCAACCTGCGGGCGGAGATCATTAACACTAACGACTTCCTCCCAGATATTCCAGGACCCCATGGGATGGCGGGGGACGAAGATGAGAGTGAGAAACCCGCGTACACATACTCTGATTTCCTGCCTCCGCCCTTCAACTGCTGGAGCCTGAGACAGCTGGCGGTGTTTCTTCACACCGAGGGCCGCGGCGCCCCCCGGCCCAAGCCTGTGGGGTCCTTAGAGAAGTACCTGGAGAGGCTGCTGCACCTGGAGTGGCTTCAAATCCAAACGGTGCAAGCAGAGAGCAGCCGCCCTCCTGGGGGTCGCACAAGACCACAGAGCTTCCCTTCTTCCACGGCCGCGCTGTCGGCCAGACCTCACACCGCGCCATCTTCCCGACTCAACTCCCCCAAAGGGCTGCGGCACGGCTCGCGAGCCTTCCCTTTCACACCTGTTAACAACCCGCCGTCGCCTGCCTCAGCCCAGCAACAGCTCTCCCGCTTTCCAGTGTGTCCGCACTGTCACATGCGATACCCTCTCTGCAACGGAAGCTGCTCTGCCTACGCCTACCAGCGCCACTCGCGGCTCAGCCCATTACTTGAGCGCAAGGCGCGCCCAGGAGCGGCAGCGAAGCGGAGCAGCAGCGAGACCCGAGCCGCCTCCTCTGAAGGTAGGAGCCCTGGAGCACAAGGCGGAGGGGGAGGGGCCCGTACACCGGTGAGCCCCTCAGCTGGGAGGAGTCATCTCAGGCACATGCAGGCTGCGGGTAACGCCCGGAAACAACCGCAGGAAGCCGGCACTAACCAAAAGGGCAGAGGGCAGGTGAGGAAAAGCCGCGTCAGAGCCAACTCCGAGACAGATGTGAAGAAGGAGCCCAGCGGGATCAAAGGTGCAGCCGCCGAGAAACGGGGACATCCCGGAAGCAAGAGAGAGCTCATCGCTTCCAAGAGAGACGAGAGGGACTGTCAGCGGGCCGAGGAGGGAAGTCAGGCCTCTAAAACTGCCACGAAAAGAGCTGCTAAAGAGCCAGCGAGTCTCTCCAAAGCTCCAGCTAGCAGCCACAGCATTCCTAAACAAAATGGCAAAACAAAAAATGTGCACTTTGTTGCTAAGTAACCCCTATAGGCCTGAAGTATATTGCTTTAGTTAGTGGTTACTTGGTAAAAAAATCCTAAACCTATGCTTGCTTTGTGTAAAGTCTGTGTAAAACTAACATGCTCTAATCCTTATACAGCAGGATGCACACAGCCTTTAAACTATAGACATGGTCTGTCATTCATCAACTAGTAGATAACAATAGGATAGTACAGGTGTGTCCAAATACATTTTAATATCCTCAAAAAATTTATTTATTTCACAAATTTAGAAAGTAAAACTTATTTTATTAAGATTAATGACAGATTACATACATTTTCAAACCGTGTTCTTTGCTTCCACATAATTTTCCTTTTGTGTCTTTCCCAGAAGGCAGTCCTTCTGGTGGACTTTCTGCTGGACAATTGTCCAGTCGGTGGGCTTACCCAGGATTATGTTGTCTATGGGCGTCTATTTGAAAATAATTTCCTTAGCTAATATTCAGATTCTGTGAGAAACGGAGTTTTGAGTTTTTATGAGTTGTAAGCCGCAGTCTCTCATCATCATGAGTGTCGCTCATATAAAACTACTGAAATAAATAAACTCTCCAGTGATATTCTAATTTTATTGAGGCATCTGTATGTTTGGCATTTGTTTAAAAAAAAAACGGTAGAATTAAAAGCGTCATGCTGAGCTCTGCTTAGACATGAGGTTCAGTATCAACATAGACACAGCTCTGAATTTTAATGCACCGCACTGTCATCCCTCCGTTCTCTAAATGTTACAATAGAGATATAGGATAAATGAAAACAGATACAAGCATAAATACTGCATAATGATATTTAGTACAAGTCATAGCATTTCATAAAATACTCAAGCAGCTTTGGATGTTTGAATGTATTTTTGTTTTATGTTGCTTTTTTTTAACCATAATTCTTTTGTGACCCCTGTTTTAAACTTTAAACGTCTCTTCAGCAAAAGGAAACACACTGGATCATCTTGTGACTTTGAGATGTACTGTTTTTTCACCACTCTGTTACAGGTTTTTTTTTTTTTTTGTTACAAGGGCTTTGCATTGTCAAAAAAGCTTGAATTGTAGTTTGCATTAACTTAATGTATTTTGCATAGAGCTGAGGTCGTCTCGTCACTGAAGGCGGTGGATTGTTTGCTACGAATGTAAATGCGTATTTTTCCAGAATTTCTATACCATAGCTATATTTATGAGACGTCGTCGTGGTCGACTTTTATTTATTTTTGTCATCTACATGATTACCTTGTGACTAACCTAAAAAAAAAAGAGAGAGAGAGAAAGAGAAAAGAGGAATTGTTTTGTAGAAGAGCTGAATGTAATTTCTCTGGCCTCTGCAGTCATCCCAATTGTTTGAATGGAGCTTTGACACATGATGGCCGCTGGGCTGTAACTGGGTGATGGTGGACAGATCACCTCCACATTCCACTACATACTTAATGTTTGTAGAGCAATGTTAATATTACAGCGCTTTGTCTGTTTTACAGTTTGATTTAAATGGTCAAAGCACTAAAATTAACGTAAACGTGACGTACTATGACTGCACTCACTAAGTATATATTTATGTAAAATGTCAAAGCCATAGTGAAGGGGCCAGGACAGACGAATATTGTTCATGTGTACACTATACACTATGTTGAAAGATTGTGGTATTTTTCTCAGTGTTGGATGCGAGTATTTGTAAGGCATAGAAATAAATGTTTTGGAAGCGAGAAAACATGTCATGCAGTTATTTGTAAAATTTAAATATTTATTCAGTTATTATATTGACATTAACAAAGATCAGTATACAGGGAATTGCAAAAGATGGGGTTGGACATCTTTAACACATGTGGGTCAAACCATTCTATTGTGGTTGCATTTATATTTTGACACAGATAGATTCTTAAGAAAACTATTAGTAATGTATTTTATTTAAGGATTCAGAGTAAAGGGGGATTGAACACAAATGCACATCACACATTTCAGATTTTATTTGTAAAAACAAGACACGACAATCTGTTCCCGTCTTGTTAAAGCAACCTGTTTGTTGCACGTTCAAAATTGGTCTAAGGTTGAAATATTATTTTTGCATGCAGAAAACATTGGGGGAAACTGGGTCGGCGTCCTTTACCAGAAAAAAAAAAAAGTGAAGCCATGTTGAAGATACCGGACACAGACTATTAGGTCTTCCTCTGAAATGGTTTGAAAAGATGGCGAAGCTGCTTTTCTCTGTCATTCAGACACCCTGCAATAAAGAACGGGCAAAACCAGAGGGTCATAATTAATAGAGCGATTCAGACCGTAAAGCACACCCCTAGAAACAGAATGGTAATAATTGATTAGCGAATCACTTTCAAAACCAAAATAATGAGTCATCTTTTTTCCCTTATTAAGATTGCATTAACTTTGCTGCTAAGTTACCCAAGTATGTGTTGGCAGTGAAACATGAACTGCCAAATGTTTGTAGGTAGACATCCTCTCTATAGACAGGCCCATTGTTCCACATGAGATCATAGCCTCCCACTCTTTTCTCCTTGCCAGTCAGCCTAATGAGAAAAAAACAATCCATTAGAGTGCCTAGCATCCCCTGGACAGACTTTATCTTGCATGTCTAAATACATGCCAGTCCATCTTTACCTCTGTAGCATGTTCATTTATACCATACGATTATTCGATCTAACGTGCTTAACAGATAGTGAAAGCCATTATTTTTGAACTCCGCATTTAATGCAAAGACAGGAAGTCCCCCACATGTAGTTTGCTCATGTCAAAATATAATCCTCGTCGTGACGACGCCTTTTACCTTCCCTCCATGTCAACAACATTCAAAGTATCGTCCAAGAGTCTGAACTTCATCTCATAGTCCTCCCGACTGCTGGGGGTGTGTGATGGAGAGGCATTCACCTCAATCAACCACCTGCGAGGAGATGGAAGGTGGCATTCGGAAAACGTACACTTAGCCTTTGGAGCGAGAGTGACGGAAAACCTCAACACAATACCTTCGCATGGCATAAGGCCTGCTGTGGAGCTTCAGCTACATTTAAAATTATAATAGGTAAAGCACTTACGGTTTGAGGTTCTCGTCCAGTAGTATGTCGTAACCGTAGAGCTCGAAGCAGTGTTTGTCGTTTATAATGACCTTTTGGACACTCTGCAGGCTTCGAATAAAGATGTTATCCATCTCTTTGAAGAGGATTTCAATCAACTCTCTACCATGTTTGGCAGTCAGGTATCTCCGAAGCTGTTGCATCTGCCATTTGCATCCCTATTACATATCAAACAGAACAGTGACATACTGTGCCTACAACAGCATATGGTATGATATAAATTTTCAAAATGTCAGACATGTACAACGCCTCGTAAAGTAATTGCACTTTTTATTTAAACATCTTTACGTTTTGATACATTGCAGACTTCAAACTTGGAATTGTGTGATAAATCACAACAATTTAATTTAAAATTGTGGAAACTGAAAATGACTTTTTTTTTCTTCATTTTACAATATTCTAAGGAGCCACGATTGGTTCCTTGGGACTTTTCCTTGAAAATAATGTGCAGTCAGGTTGGATGAAGAGCATCTGGGAAAAGCACTTTTAAAGTCTTGCTGAAGATTGTCAATTAGATTCAGATGTGGAGTTTGAGGAGCCAACTGGAGGCTTACAGATTCAATTGGTGCTGCATGGGAAGCATATGGCACTTGATCCAGGTTTATGGACGCTCACCTCAGCTTCGACAGGAGTTCTCAAAATACATTGCTAAATTCATTTGGGTTTATTTTTAAAGCAGTTTTCACTTGATTGCAGCATGGTTGAATAATTCATCTATGACTGATGTCTGGTTGTCTCAATAGTTTAACTATACAGGTGATTTTAAAAAAACTGTTTTTTTTTTTTTCTTTTTGGATACATACCTCTTCATGATTATAGTGTGGAGCTGTTTTTTGAACAGACACATTAGTGAGGTGCATGTCTGGAATGAACACTAAGGACGACTCAGAAATCTCAGTGGACAGGAGCCTGACAAATGGGATTGTTTCAGTCACACTTGTGCTGTGGATTATTCTTTATACCTTCAAATACTGGCAGGAAAAACAAGAAAGGGATACACTTGTCGTCGATGGTGCTGAGCGAAAAGCGAGTTCCCGAGAAGCGAGCGAAACCATCTCTGTATAACCATGCCTTTAAGGGAACATACTGAAAAACAAAACAATATATATAAATATATTTATACACAATGTGCAGGTAAACAGCAATGTTAACAACTTAAATAAAAATGAATGACTTCTTGCTACATACTGACGTGACCAGGACGTAAACTCTCAAATCAAATTTTCTACCTGTGATAATAAAAAACATGTCAAGTAAGGATTTACAACATATGTAAACATATAATAATAGGATGTCTTATATTGATACTATATTATCTTATGTCAGTATTTCAGTTGATTACCATTAATCAGGTAAGGGTTCTCTATATATCTCTGTGCCACATAGTTTTCCACAGGTGCTGCATCTTTCTGCTCTTCTGAGTGAAAACTTTCCTGTGAAAAACAAGACATATGAGTTCAATTTAGTAACTGAAAGTACTCTAACTTTTTTCATAAAAGGAATAAATGTTACCTTCTTCCAGTCTATAATATCTTTCAGTTTCCTGAACAGGAAAATCCCTTTGCCCTGCGATTTTGCTACCTAAAAAAACACCAGAAAGTTTCAAAGTGAAATAGATTCTTGTCTTTTGGATCCTCCAAACTGAGGATAGTTTGGAGAATCTTTTTTTATTATTATTATTATTTGTATTTTTTGCACTGGGTCTATTTTAGCTCACCGGTTTCATAATCCAGATGCTGCCAGGGTTTCGATTGAACTCCTCTACAAAGAGATGATACTCGCTGGGCAGGACAAAGGTGCAAGGGAAAAAGTCACATTTAGAGGCTTCCTCGCGGCCAACTTCCTTTTCCAGATTCTTCTGGTACCTTTTGAGGTTTTTGACCATAAGATTTTTGCGGGACAGCTGTTTTAAAATACAAAAAAAAAAAAAAAAAAAAAAAAAACACACCAGTTTGTACTTTCTGTTAGAAAAAAAAAAGAAAAGTAAAATGTTTTAGTTTATAATCATAATGCACCAGAATTGAAGATATCTCACCTCGTAATGGTTACGAAAGTGATTTATTTTGACGTGTTCTTCCAGGTATGAGTGGTCAAAATTCTCCCTAAGCCAGCCCACATCACACCAGTTGAAGTCCCACTCTCCATCACTGGAAATGGGAGAAAACAAATCAAAACAAAGAATAAAGAGAAGAAGGATGCTGAGGTCTTTTTGCTTAATGACCTTCCTTACTGCAAAGTTTTTTTCTCTCCCCCAATATGTCCCTGAACTCACTCTTTGACTTCAGCCCAGTTTGGTCTTTGTTTCAGGACATCTTGTATGGTGCTGACTAAGCCGCATCTATAACGTACGCAAATTTTTCCTTCCCTGAGGAGAAGCAGCAACAACATCGCAGTTTCCAGCAGCTAATTTTGTCAGTTCCACATTAGCCAGTTTAGACAAAACACCCACCGTTCCTCACTTTTGCCACTATCATTTGAGGCTTTGCTTCCAGATGTCTGCAAAAGTAAGGAAAGAAAACGTTAAGATTTAACGAAAGCTCTTTTCTTATTTTGTAAAGAAGAACCGGCACTTTCTAACAGTGCTGGGAAAAACGATTTACCATACAAAAAAAAATACTAGGCTAACTGATCTAAAAAATAATAAAGATCATGATCTTAAAAAAAATAAAATAATAAAAAAAAAATAAATAATAATAATAATAGAAAAAGAAAATGACATCTGAGGAAGAAAAAGGGAACTTTTGGTGCTAAACTAAATACATTATAGAAAAAAAACCACACAATTCACATCTTAGTACATTCAAAATATTCTTAGCCAATTTAGGTTGGCTTTTATTGTTGCACCGTCCTTTTACTTGATTGATATTATTTCTCAAGTATCGTTACTCTTACTTGAGTAAAATTTCTGGCTACTTCACTGTCGCTTCGCTGAACACAGAGAAATGCTTAAGGTGACTCTTCTTTCTGAGCGACTAGGAGATGAAGTGAAGTCACAGTAAGCATTAGACATTTTCATTTGAAGAATAGTACCCCGTTCTAACGTGGCGCTAAAAAAAATTGAAAAAAAAAAAAGGTGTCCCTTCTACCCCAATTAATTATTTTGTATTTGTGTCACTTGTTTACCTTGTGCTTCGACATAGACCCGTTCACCACGAAGTAGCAGCAGAAGGCTTCGGAACTTCCTCTTGAGGTATTTGTGTGGAGAAAGCTACATTATCTGAAAGGACGTCAACAAGAGTCGTTGTTATGACTACCGAGGAACCAGCCGGAGAGGGGAGATTGTCCCGAAGCGCTTGCCGTAGTATCCTAGAGAAAATGAGTTTGTTTATTTATATAGCTTGTATTTGTTTGTTTTTTTAATTAATTTATTTATTTGGACGCAGTGGCCTTTACCGGTCTGATTAGCTTTAGACTGTCAAAATGCAATTGAAGATATAATGTGAGGAGAGAATAGAACAATCATCAGTTATGCCTTTAAATTGAATAACTTTCAACAGTTAATTACTATTAAAATGAACTTAAAATGGATGTCATTTATAAATATATTCGAATGAAAGTTGATTTCCAGTTTTTATCGAGCTTTGCTATTTACCACCTGATAACCACACGAGGGCACCAAAACCTCAAATGAGTAATATAGAGTTTTTGGTTCTTTTCTCAACATTAGAATTTTAAACATGAACATATACCCTTTAAAACAATCTAAACTTGTCAAATAATTTATATATCAATATATATGAAATAGTTCATTGCAGAGTCTAGCATTTTTTTTCTTTTCTTTTTTTTAATCTAGGACAACGGTTCTATTGAATAATAGGTGCTGTTCAGTGAGCAAGAACTGTTTAAAAGCAAAAGGTCCTGATTCGAGTCACCTAGTTTGCACTTTGATCTTTCATTCATGCCAAAAGATTAAAATTCTCTCCTCTGCTTATTGAGAAAACACCATTCTCTTCATATTCCCTCTCTAACCTGCTAAAACCAATGGATTTGAACAAATCTATATTTATTTTGTGACTAAGACACTCTGTTTTCCCTCTGTTTAGTACACCTTGCAGATTCTGGTTTTGTTGAGCATTTCGTTTTTCTTTGTAAGACCAGAAAAAGGTGGATTTAGGTGTACTGTTTATTCTGCCTCTGAAGTCTATGCACTGTCCAGCTCATAAAACAGTGTTGATTATTGTTTTTAACATATTGTAGTCGGTAATGTAAAAATATCTTATATCTGGCTTAGATTCTTGTGGAAAGATTAATAATAGGTTAGAACCTCAATCTCAGCTATGCAGTATCAATAAATGATCTATCATATTAGAAGCTAATGAAAAAATAAGGTTTGCCCATAATGAAAATTTATTTCAGTTAAATTAGAATGTGGGTGGTCAGCTACTGCCGTGTCTCAACTGGAAAGCAAAACAAGGCAAACCTCTGAGCCAAAGCTTAGTTTCACAATGTTCTCACAGAGCAGACAAATTACAATACATGTTTTTGTATGTCATTTGGACATGAGAGTTATTCAAGTGAGTTTGGGGAACATACCTTTATCATGCATTGACATATTCAGAATTTATTTTATTGTGAACAACATTGAGGCAAAAGAAGATATGGTAAAAGAAAATGTCCTATTTTAAATTAAAACAGATGATGGGAATATAGTGTCATTAAAATCCTGGACTGGAGCCTCTAATAAAAATGTTGTTATTTTGCAAATGAGCTTCAATGTGTTCAGACACTCTATCTATCTATCTATCTATCTATCTATCTATCTATCTATCTATCTATCTATCTATCTATCTATCTATCTATCTATCTATCTATCTATCTATCTATCTATATCTATCTATCTATCTATCTATATCTATCTATCTATCTATATCTATCATCTATCTATCTATCTATCTATCTATCTATCTATCTATCTATCTATCTACTATCTATCTATCTATCTATCTATCATCTATCTATCTATCTATCTATCTATCTATCTATCTATCTATCTATCTATCTATCTATCTATCTATCTATCTATCTATCTATCTATCTATCTATCTATCTATCTATCTATCTATCTATCTATCTACTATCTATCTATCTATCTATCTATCTATCTATCTATCTATCTATCTATCTATCTATCTATCTATATCTATCTATCTATATCTATCTATCTATCTATCTATCTATCTATCTATCTATCTATCTATCTATCTATCTATCTATCTATCTATCTATCTATCTATCTATCTATCTATCTATCTATCTATCTATCTATCTATCTATCTATCTATCTATCTATCTATCTATCTATCTATCTATCTATCTATCTATCTATCTATCTATCATATTTTGCTATGTTGCTATCTATCATTGTTCTCTTGTATGGCTTGCAGCAAAAAACAGTTTTTTTGTTTGTTTGTTTTTTAAAAAATCTGATTTAAATGTTTTTGTTCATCACAATATTTTCTTTTTACACAATAGTGCAGGTTGACCTTTCTCTTCCAACCACAAACTTGGTGTTTTGAACAGAGCATGTTCAAATAAATAGTTTTTTCCATTTTATAGGTCAGTGACTTTTAAGATCAAAGTTCGCCTTTAGCCATGAGTTTCCATTTATATGACCACAGCAGCTCTGGCTTTCCCATTTTCATGTTCAGCCTTTTATTTGATTTAGAGTGCATTACTTCTTCAGTTTTCAACCAAAAACTTTGGTTCTCAGGCATAACAGTCAGTTGAACCATAGGTGCCTCTCAAAGATCAATCTCTGAGCGCTATTTTTTATATGGAAACAGATTATCTGGGCTTGTTTTAGTGAAAATTTTTGGGTTTGGCATCCCTCCCTCCAGGGAGTTGCTATCTGTCTAGCAGCTGTACATGGTATACATATAATTTTGGCTGACCACTTGTTCTTATGCAACACGAGAAAAATGTAAACGTTATTTTCACCGGTATCTTGGAATAAAGATTGTTTTTGAGGACCAACCCGCAATGGATTTGTCTCTTTCAGACATGCAGCCCGTGTTCTCTGAGGAAATCAAATTGAATTCCAGCTTTATTGTCCAATTTAAATTGTCATATCCAATGCTGAATTTCATTTTGCACAGATTTAATGTTTGCCTCAGTCTGACAGTGCTGGCTTCATCACTGTTGAGGTTTTGCATAAATCTTCACCAATTACTGTGAGGTATCCCACAGGTCATACAGTTTCCAGAAGGTGAAAGTCATCAGTCCTGCAGAACCGTATGCTCCTCAGCAGCTAAACCACAAAGTAGAAAACTTATGGGATTTAGGGTATAAACTGCTATTTGTCTTCAAGTTACACTGCCTGCATTATAGTGCCTATATAGATGTTCTGCTTAGAAATATACTGTTTTGGTAGACGACTAAGCACTGCAAGATTTTGGTTTGAAAATTTTAGGTCAGTAATAGGAGTATGATAAAAAAAAAGAAGACCAAAGTATCCATATTGTTTTAGGTTAGAGAACAGATATTCAGTATTCAGTGGTATAGTGGAGATTTATGAGCAACAAAAATCACCTTTAAGACAAATTTGTCCAGAATTACAATAAAAAATATGCATAATTACAATTTTTTCTTTACTAATAAAATTGTATGCATATCGCCCTTTATTTAGATAACCCTAAATTAATTCCAGTGCAGTCAACTGCCTTCAGAAGTAAACAAATTGGATAATTGAGTAAATATGCCAGTAATTACAGTTATAAATCTAGATGTTCTGTCAAGGTCTCAGATGATTGTTACGGAATATTGGCAAACAAACATTACGTAAACTAGGGATTAAAGTAAACAGATCAAAGATAATGTTTTGAATATGTTTAAAACAGGTTTTGGCTATAAAAAAATATTCTGAACTTTGAATTTCTGAGAGAGCACTGTTCCAACCATAATCTGAAAATGAAGAATATGGCACAACTGTTCAGCTAACAAGACATGGATATTCCCAAACCGATAGTTGAGTGGCTGTGGAGGAGCTGCGTAGATCTAGTGGAAGAATCTTTTAAAAATGAAAGTCAAGTAAGTAGTCACACAGTCCTCAAACAAAACCATTGCACAAAGAAAGGCCAGTTTGCAGTTTGTCAACTGCCATAGAGAAGACACAGCAATCAAATTAGACCAGTGCTGATGTTTTTACCCTATAAAGCTTCACTTGTGGAGGAGGTAAAACATACCACATCCCAGTGGTTACTTCTTTCATGTAGTGAAATCTGGTGGAGGATGTGCAGGGATATTTTTCTCAGCAGGAAAAGAAAAGATACTGGACAGAACTAAGTATCTGTGGTAATCTTTTGTTTTTCACAATTATGTGTTGTTCTTTCAAATAAAATAAGATCAAGTTTGGGGTTGTAACAAGACAAAACGTACACGTCTTGAAAAGACATGGATACATTTATGACAGTCCCTCTTATCACAACCATTCGAGCAGACATTGTGTTAAGAGGTTTATTGTAAATTACTAGATTATTACAGAGACCCATCATTTAAAACTTTTATCCAGTTTACCATCACCAACCAACCTTACAGACAAAATCATGTCAGCTCTACAAGGAAAAAAAATCCAATCTGATCTCCTCTCCACTAAAAGGGGATATTTTATTTCCAGAATAAGTCCAAGATATTTTACATGTTTTTAGACTCAAATATGAGTCCCACCTGTTTATTGCTTCTCTGCTTACTAACTTAGAAGCAACAACACACTCTGGTATTGAAATGAAAATCTCTGGGTGCTGCACACAAATATGTTTTCTAATGAAACATGTGGAAGCCCAGAATAACAGGTCAAAGTGGGATCTGAAATACCTCTGCAATTTAATGCATTCCTTAATGTCTCCTTGTTCTTGCTGAAGTTTATGAATGTTTTCTTCTGCCGAAAGCCACAACAGAAGCAAAGGCACCAAGGCTATTGTCAAACAGAACGTAGCGTATTGTGCGAAAGCAAAGTCTAACTTGTTGAGTTGACGGCCTGATAAAACAAAAAGAATAAAGAACAATGTCAAGCTTAACTCTGTGGATAACATCTGATGTTTAAAGACTGTCATAATGAGCTAAGTTGCAAAATACAATTTAAACTCCTAAATGTGTTGCACAACACAAGGAGGAGGGAGACATTTAATTGAGATACGTTTATTGCTCTCAACCTCATTTTATTGCCTTAATTAGCAATGCCAAAACATGTTAACCGCGGAGATTGTGTTCCTTCTCTGTTTAGCTCTGACTCCCCACTTATGGTAAATAACTAACAATGAACCCACACTGAAAAAAGCAGACTGAATAGACCAGAATGTACAAGGTCTTTCGCAGCATGCACACATCCTGAAACCGCCAAACCACACACAGTCAACTTCCCTGATAGCGCTCTGTCTCCACAACTGGGTTGAGGAGAAAGAAAACAGAATATGGTCTTAATTTATCTGGAATTCTCTGTTTCCCAGCTTGGGGATTGTGCCAGAGGACTTGGGTATGGCACAAAACCTTAGCCTTAGGGAATTTGGAAGGGGACCAGAGGGCAGTTATGAGTCAGACAGATTTGGCTTCAGAGGATGCTTCAGTAGGACAGTTAACGTGTCTATTACTGGGACTAAGGAAGTAAATGGTTTCAGAGGCTGTAGATTATTAAACAAACAACAACAAAAAAAGAGTTTAATTATTTTCAGGAGCTTATACCTTTGGTTCATGTCAGTGTTCTGTTCATGCATTTCTATGTTTGCCCTTGGGTTTTGGTCTATTTCTTTCATCTTCAGGTAATTATTTCCACAAGTGAGACAGTGCCTTCAGACGTAGTTATAAAAAAAAAATCCAAATAACTCTGTTTCCTCTTTGTTATTCTGTTTCAGGCTGTCTGGCAGCTCAATATCTGAGCGTAATAAACACCCAACGGTCCAAGCAACTAAAGGGAAATTGGAGTTGCAGACTGGAGAGAGCAAAGTTTGTTTTAATAACACTGATTTGAGCATGATTTGGAGCAACCTCCACCTAAAAGTCACCCAATCTGTGCTCCAGAAGTGTGACTCATTTCTACTTCCACCACCTGCATCACTGCCTTTCATTAAAAAATATGTTCCTGTTTAATTGCTACATCTTTGGCTCCCATTTGTCACCTCAGAGCGTTTTTACTTTGGTGAGGTCACATCCATCCATCATGGAGTAACACATACGATTTCAGTTACTAGTAGCTATTTTATGTTTCACATGATATTGCAACAACAGCAATATAGCTTTCTTTGGCACACACCGTTCACAGATGAGATTACTCAACTAAAAATAATTGATTTCATAGATAATGTTCAATAAATCATTCAATAAAACATGCAACTTTTTGTAAAGCTTGTCGTAACCCCCCAAAACTATTTAATATATTATTCCATTCCAACTGCAGATTAGGTTTATTGGTAAAATATGCAAAAAAAAAATGTTTTTGCAATAAACAAATTACAAAAGAACAATTTAAATAACTGAACACAAGCAATAACACAAGTGCTTTCTTCAAATACCACACGAAATTATTTGAACTCCTTCCTTGTAAACGTCAGTGGAAGCAAAGCATCACTGGGCAATGCAGTGCTTCTTTGAGGATGTTCTTTTTTAGATAATGTTCTTCTCACCGCAAACACTCCAGGTGTTCAGGAGTTGTAACTCAAACACACCTAATGCAGCTATCATGTCTTTGATTGATTGCCCACACTATGAAACATTCTGTTCAGGTATTCTAATAATTCTAATACTGAATTGGCAATTAAAAGTAGAAGTTAGTCATTAATTTGGATCAAAACCTCATAATTAGTTCATTTTGAATTTTGTTCCTAGTTTGTCCCTGTGTAATTTATTGTAAACACCTGAGCAGTTTTGAGTTTTGCTCATGATCCTGTTTGCAGGAGGTTGAATGTTTTCAGCATAAAGTATGTGATGCCACATTGTTTTTGTTTTATAACAAATAATTGTATTGTTCTGTACTCACTTATCTACTTATTTCTATTATTTGTACCATTTTATTTCAAGTGTTTTTCTTTTTTGGCTATTTATAAAGCATTTATGTCATGTTCTGTTGTTTTCAAGAAAACTTTCTTTCTTCTTTCTTTCTTTCTTTCTTTCTTTTCTTTCTTTCTTTCTTTCTTTCTTTCTTTCTTTTTCTTTCTTTCTTTCTTTCTTTCTTTCTTTCTTTCTTTCTTTCTTTCTTTCTTTCTTTCTTTCTTTCCTTCTTTCTTTGCCAATAGGCTCCAAATAATTGTCGTTTCACTGACTTCTATTTTTAATGCAGTCTTCTGCATTTTGCTTAATGGAAAATGACAATCAATTAATCAAATTAGGTCTTAATATATATGATACAACTTGTGAGACTTCAGTATCGCACGTGCTCGGCAGTCTCCTGTTGCGTAAGGGTGTCGGGAGAGGTGTGGGCGTGGACCTTTGCCTCTCCACAGCCCCACACCTTTGATTTGGGCTTTTTTAGGAGAAGTGACATCGTGGATCATCGCCCCGCTCTTTGCGAACGTCGTTTTATTGAGACGCAGGCACGTTTGCAGCTGATATTAAGACGGGGAAATATTTACTCCCACTTTAATGCGCTTGCTCGGCATTAGATTTATGACTTCATTTCAAAGAGTGGGAAGCCTAAAAAGGCCCCCGCTGTCTGTCCGGACCATGTGAGCGCCGAGGATTTACAGCAAACTTAATGGATATACGTTCTCATCTCACTATGATTCAGTTTTGGAGAGTCTGACGCAGCGAAAATGCTGAGCTTTCACACAAGTATGATGGTTTTCCGAATCCTGGTTCTGATTATTTTGCAAGGTAAGTTTCCATTTATTTATTTTTTTAAATGTATTTAAAATATATTTATACAGTTGTCGCCCTGGGGTTTATTTATTTATTTATTTATTTATTTATTTATTTATTTATTTATTTATTTATTTATTTATTTATTTATTTATTTATTCATTGAACTTATTTAACATATTGTTTCGCGTCCTTTTAATAAAGGCGTTTTGATGCCCCACGTGAAATCCGAGAGCGACCCCAGAAGTGTCCCGGACTCCCAGGTGATGGGCTCCACGGGATCCGAGGCTTCAGAGCCGCCTGAGACCTCAAGGTCCAGACAAAAGCGCTGCACCTGTTATTCCTACACGGACAAAGAGTGCGTCTATTACTGCCACCTGGACATCATCTGGATTAATACACCTGAGTAAGATGGGATTCTCAGAAGAACTGATCTGATCACAATGTGTCTTTTACAAGTCGTTGCATCGTTTTAGACTAACACAATGCAGCTCATCATTTAGGAGAGAAAAAAAAGTGCCTGGCGTCAATTCGTTTTTATAAAGTCTAAAAAAAATTGAGGGCTGCATTTGTATTTATTCCCACCCTCAGTCAGATCTTTGCAAAACCACCATCCACAGAAGCTACAACGCTTTTCGGGCGTCTGCTTGGTGCATCCAGAAACAAAATGTTTTGTTATTTTCCTGTTTTGCAACCTGCAGCAGCGTTGCCATGAGTTGTTTAGCTCTGTTTGCGTTCCCTTCCACTCTGACCTGCTTCCCCTGTCCGTGCTGAGCTGAAGCATCCCCACAGCATGATGCTCCCACCACCGTGTTTCACAAATATACCGCTTTGTGCAGCTCCTCTAGAGTCACCATGTGCCTTTTGGCAGCTGCTTTCCCTGATGTTAGTTTACACACAAACAGATGATGCTGCATGACTTATAAAGCCAGTCTTTTGCATTGGATCTGATTTGAGTGAATCAGGAGTATGCACATCTAATGAGTATGCACATTAGATGTGCATACTCCAGGTTTTAATCTGTAAAAAGAAAACTAAAATGTATTCTTTTCCTCACAGTTATTTTCTATGCATTGTGTGAATAACTATGACATGAAATCCAATAAAACACAATAAAAGTCTGTTATTTTAGCACAAAAAATATGGATAAACCGGCAGATGTTTGAATACGTTTGTGAAGGCGCAGGATAACAGTGCAGCATGTGCGGCATAGTTTCTGCAAGCACCTCTAGACAGGATCCCGCCATATGTCAGTGAGGACAGAGTGAAGGAAATTATCTGCCGATTGGCTTGCGGTGGGTTTGTGCAACTAAGAGAGAGGAATCATTTATGTTTAGGGAACACGCTATTGTCAAGTCACACCCTGTCATATTCCCCCAAGGCGACGCAGTTTTAGTTCATGTGATGACAAGCCCGAAAGAGACATCTCGTCTTTCCCCAGTTTAAATTCACATGCTAAGTCTCTGTAGTATTGTCTAGTAGAGCTTGCACCATGCACCCATTTTTTTACTGGATTAGTATGAACTCAGAACTTCAACTGGGTCCAATAGTTTTAATAATCGTCTTATTGTAATTTGACTTTCAGGAGTCAGAACAAAAGTAATTTTGCTAAAGTTTAATGTTAAGAAAATAAAAGCCTTGCAATACGATTGAAGAGACAGCAGAAGGTGTTTTATGGCACAATCACATTTTGTCAAACTGCAGCCGTTCAATTTTTATTTATAGAGCACAGCGAAGGCGACACAAAGTGCTTCACAGAAAATTAAAAGACAAACCACAAGTAACCATGTAGAAAAAGTACAAAAAAAGTGTAACCATCACAGGTTTGAAGCACTGAGATTGGTATCTCGTGGTAATAATAATCATATGGAATTGATGTCAGAAAGAAGTGCATAATTGTAAAGTGAAGGGACAAGAATGCCTTGTCTGTATTTTACAAACTTTTATGGTTGGAAACTAACCCTTCGCATTAAAATTAAAACATTAACTCACTGTGAAGTATGGTGATGACTTCGTCACGCTGTGGGGATATGTTCTTCATCACAAACAGGGAAGCTGGTCTTAGTTGACGAGAAGCTGGATGGAGCTAAATGTAGAGCAAACCTCAAAAAAATCCTGGTAGAGGTTGAGAAGGACTTGAGAAAGTGGAGGAGGATTCCCTTCAATGACCCAAAATGCAGCCCCACAGGTAGAATGGAATGCTTTAGATGAAAGTACGATCATGTGTTGGCACTGGAGCTCTGATGACCTAGCCTTATAGAGGCTAGGAGATACCAATGCAATGCACATTTAAGTCAGCTCATAACTTTTTTCAAAGTTAGTTTTAAAATGTTGCTGCCAATATTGGTCTTTGGTTTGATGGTGGCATGAATCGTTGCTACCTAGTCATGCTAAATTTAGACTGAAAATAATTTCAGCTTTAATGTTTTTGATAAAGCAACAGTCATTGGTAGGAACATGACAGTGTGATAGTTGTTTTCGGTGGTTGACATTTTACTCTGTTACCGCAAAACAGTCCTATTTCAATCACTAAAAGTAATAAACAGAAGCCGTAAACAGGGGCGGTGACACATGCACGCCAGCATGTCGGGAAACTTAAATATCTCAGGCGTATCTTCCTGCAGCATGTTTTTTTTTTTTTTTTTCTTCTCCATGTTCTGAGGAAAACTGCTCTAAGCATTCAGGCAGTGAGACCACAAATTACAATCAACGTGTTAAAATATAAATTTCAACACTCAGCGTTGACACCTTTATACCACATCCCAAGCAAGAAATCAAGCAACCATCCATATTTTTCTTTTTTTTCTTCTTCCTGGCTTTGGTGCCAAGATTGCCACAGGCTGTCTCAGATAAACAACTAAATTTATTACTTCAAAGCATGTCAGGACAAACAGACATACTTCAAATACCCAATGAAGCAATGAAATGGAAAACAACAAATTTCTTTTGTAGGGAAATCTCTGACTAAACAATACAAAACCAGGATGAGAAAGTCAATCTTTCTTTGATACATGATTATCCAGTCCCTTGTGAAAAGTTTTATAGCCTTTTCAGCTTTTTTTTCATGTTATCATGACTATACCATTCTGAATACACTTGACTTAAACTATTTTGTTGTGGCTCTAACTGTATGCTCTGCGCTGCTATTTTGCTGGACGGTCAAATTTTGTCCTAAGCAGTTTGTAATAGAATAGAATAGAATAGAATAGAATAGAATTCAACTTTATTGTCATTGTACTGTCACATGTACAAGCAATGTCTCCATTGTTGCCGATTTAGCTCCATCTGTTATTCTTTAAGCTATGGCTAACTTCGCAGTACATATTAGAAAAAAAAATGTTCTCAATGACATGCGAACATAGGGTGTGTTTGTTTTCTGCACACACCGCATTTTACATAAAGGTCAAAAGGGTGAATTTCAGTCTTGTCTGAATGCAGCACATTCGTCCAACATGATGTATGACACATGGAACATCAAGCAGGACTTCTTATCGCCACCTTTTCACTTACACAATATTATTAGCTTTCCTGTTCACAGATTCTCCTGCCTAACTGGATGTCTGCAGCTCCTCCATACTTACCATGGACCTTTAAGATATTTATGAGTTGCTCATATACTGAAATTGACACAAAGTTTGAAGGGACTTTCAGAAATCCAGTTGGTTGCAGTTTATTTTTTTTTATCAGAGTAAAGGAGGACAAATCAATACTTGTTTTCAAACCTTAATTTGTTCAAAAGAATTTCACTTTCAGTTCATAAATCTGAAATACTCTGTGTTGGTTTATTAAATTATAATAAAATTCAAAAGGTGAATAAGGTTCAAAATGTGTAGTTAGATTGGCATGACAATGTAGTAAACAAAGCTTCAGTGAAGCTTTAGTGAGTCTACTTTTTAGTCATACTGACAAAGACTTAGCTAAAAATAATTTCCAAATTTAATGTTGTTGTACATGAAAGTGGAGACTCCTTATCTCCCAAACGTGAAACAAAAGGGGGTACGCTGTCTCAAAGCAAGTCCCTCCTCACCACCTTATTCTAGCATTTTCAGAACCATTTGTAGTTTATGTTAAACCATAACTCTGACACACAGCTGCCAATTTAGTCTTTTAGCCTAAGGGCAATCGGTTGCAAACTGGCAGACAAAGGAGGAGCCGAGCACTGCAAAGTGGAAGCAGTGGGAGACATGTCTTACACTGCAGGTAGACACAGACAGTTTGGCATATTCTAGCAAGTAAAGGAGGGAAAGTGATTTATTTTTCAAAGAATCTTTCACTTTTCATGATAAGTGTTGCCACAGCTAGTCCTTTAAGGACATTCACGATCAGGATATGACTCAAAATGAAAATGAGTTTGAGGCTCTTGTTCTATACTAAACATAGCACGTCATTTTGAACTTCAGTCCTTCGCCGCTGAATCCAGGTGTTTGTTTGCACTTTATCTTAGGCGCACTGTGCCTTATGGTATGTCTAACTACAGAGGACCAAAGAGAAGGAGACGTGATGCTGCTGCAGCACCAGCGCCTGAAGGTGGTCGAACTCAGATACGCCGATGTGTCTGTGCTGTGACAGATGCAGACCCCGGGTGTCAACGCTTCTGTCTGTCGAGGTACGCCTAACTCCAGCTTGCAAAACTCTGAAAGGTGATATGTTTGCATTACTAAAGGTAATTAGGAGTAAATATTAGAGTGGTTCCACCAGATACCTAAGATGGACATGAACCACAATAATTATTGTCATGAGTGGAAAGCAGAAAAACACTTTGACTTAAATTCACTTTAATTACACACTGAACGGTGCAGAAATTTCAACTTTAAATTTGAGTGCATTTTTTTTTAAGCACCAAAGCCATATATTACTTCCATAACTAAATGAATGTTTGTCCAAAAATGACAAATAAAACAAATAAAAATGTTTTACCCCTTGGGCTCCAACAAAAACTGTCAGCACTGAAATATTCATTACATATTTGCTATAAGGATACAGTTTTCTATCTGGTTTTGAACATATCTGTAAAAAAATCATAATTTCTTAATTGGTACTTATACTTTATTGACTGAAGATCTTTCAAAATTTCTTTGTCGAAATAAAGTGCAGTGTGCTGTTAAATCTGGTTTGGCCTGAGTTTTTTAGGTCGGATCTAATTTATTGGGTAAGAAGTCGAGCGCATGAGTGAAACCATCTCAATATCCTTATCTTTTCATGATAAACATTCTTGTTAAGTCTTAACAAAGTATCAATGGTAATTTAGTCAACTGATAATCTTGTTTAAATAATTTTTAAACATTTTTTTAATCCCCCAATTTTGCCTGAATTGGACAGCAGTCGCTGTTTCTTCCCATCGTTTTATCTTGCCCAGAATGATGGAAAATCTGCCTTACACCAACAAACTGGAGTCCTAAATTGAGCAGTCCTCCTTTTTCCTTTATTATGTAAAGGGTTTGATTGCATAAGCTTGGTTTTTGCCCCTGCAAAATTAATTTAAAAATTAGCTTGTCCCACTCATAAAAGTGTTTGTTATTTTAACTGGAAGAGTTTGGAACAAATAAAGCATCTCAAGCAAAATATTCATCTTAATTTTATCAAAACGTGACACAAAGCTTAAGATTGATATGAAATTGTATGTTTCAATGTCCTCATTTATTTTATTGCAGAAGAGCTTAAAGCATCACTATTTAAATGAGTAAGTGTCCTGCAGAGCACATGACTGGCAGCATCTGGAATTGATCACAGTGTTGTCTTTAACTGCACCTCTCAAATCGGTAAACTCTATTATGTATGCTTATAAGTATTCAGACATTTTTCCAGAATAAAGCATTATTATGTTTGGGCGTCTTGGTTTCTCATCTTGAGCATATGATTGGCCTTAATCCACAGAGCTCTTACACTCTTGGCAGCGGCCTCAAATTAATATTAAAAAATTCCTCCCGTCTTTGTTGTTGTTGGGTAAACTAAACCAGCCTTGTTATCTCTGCAGAGGAGTGTTTCTCCTAAACAAAGTGGCATAATTACTGGTTTAAAGCCTATGGTTATGCATAAATGTATGTGACTATGTTTCACATAAACCCATATTCACGTTTTCTATGTTTTTGACATAACTACTGTTTAATGCAAGACTAATTTGAGGGAATGTTCCTTTAATAATACTGAAATTTTCTCTTTAAAGCCCACATCAGACTTGACTATCCAGGAGTCTCCACAGAGTCCCCTGCTTTGGATGATGCCACAGCAACCGTCCATCTTCTGCTGTTCCTAGGTCAATGGATCTTTCCACTCCCCTTCATCCACTTCCATTTGACCTCCGTTTGGCTCCTTGACTCCCAGGTACAAACTGTAAAAAAGAACTTCGGAGTTGCATATTGCCAACATTCCTCGGCATCAATACTCTTGGAACAAGTTCCATCAGGCCAACAGGTTTCAAGAAGTCATCTGGAAAATTCGATGCAGACCTCTTGGGGCTATTCTTACTTTTTGCTACCTTTTTGAGAAAACCCAAGGGATTGTTTTTCACTATCAACGCAATAGCAAGTGACCTTGCTTATGTCAAGCTTAACCAGACCAACTTCTGGTTTTGGTTTATTTGCTGTTGACTGTAACTTTCAAACTTAGTTTTGTCTAGACCAACATATAAGCTTATAAAAGTGTATGAGATGGTTTGTTCCACAGATCAGGCCACAAAGCAATAAATGTCCAAAGAAATCCAGGAAACCCAGGGAATAATGGGGTGAGGGCTTGTCATAAAAATAGGGAAACAAAGGCTTGAAGTTGCAGCACAAAAGTACTGGACATACTGTTTTAATTTGATATTTTCCAGATTATTAATCATTGATAGGAAAGGCACTGAAAGCCCAATTTATAAGTACACCTTACTTGTAATGTATCCTTACTCCCCTTCAGAACTGCTTTGATTCTTTCCTGCAAAGATTCCGCAAAATGTGCCTTTTGTCAAGTAACAAGTCTGAGATTATTTCAGATTTTTGACTTAGGTAGGGTGTGCTGTTTAAAATTCGCACAGTTGATACTAAGGAACCCAAATGATGCCAGAAATGTTCCCCATACTATAACGACACCTATACTGGTCAGAACTGTTGATGGTGGATGGACTCATACTTTGCAGATATTTAATCCTAACTCTGACCGTATCATCCTAATGATGCATCAACATTGCTACTTATCTGGTCCTACAAAACAATAACAGTTTTGCAGTTTGTTAAAGTTCAGTGTTGGTAAGCATGGTAACTTCAGTTTTCTGTTCTCTCACTGGAGTGGTTTCTGATGTGGTCTTCTGCACTGTAGTCCATCTACTGCAAGTTTTGAAGACTTTTATATTCAAAAATGGCATTCCTTGGATGTAGCTGTTAATAATTTGGGCAATGAAGATTGACACGAACAGGTAGAGTAGAGCTGCATGAACTGTACTCAACTGTGACTTGAATATAACCATCAGACACTAATTTAACATTTCTTAAACTCTGAGGTGGTTAGCAGGTATGGTATGTTTTTTTATGTGGTAAATGGTAAATGGCCTGTATTTGTATCGTGTTTTATCAAGCCCAGAGGACCCCAAAGCACTTCAAACTACCTTCATTCATTCATTTATTAATAATACCACTTCTGATTTTTAAGTAAGACAGTCCTACATTACATAGAAATGTCCATTGGCATTATGCCTTTGGGTCACTCTGATTATTCTTTGAAAAACATGTCAATAATTTATGCAGCTGCAAGTGAAATCGTTTGTCCTCAAACATTGTCATTGAATCAGAAAAAATGGGCAAGCGTAAGGATTTAACGGTATTGAACATGGTTCAGATTTTCCAAGCATCTCTAAAACTGCAGCTTAGGTGTTTCTGGTCTTTAGTGGTCGGCGTTTCTTAAACTAGTCCAAGAAAGGACAACTGTAGGGTCATGGTCAACCAAGGCTTACCAAGTGAAAGTTGGCCCTTGTGTTCAGACCTAACAGACACAGCCTGCTTTAACTCAAACAGTTGAAATTAATGGTATTTCTGATACAAAAATGTCCAAATACACAATGCGATTTATTACATATGTCATAGCATACCTGCTAACCAGTGGAAACAATGTTTCCTTATAGATATATCTTCTTGTACTAGAGATGGCAACAAGTTTGAGCCAGATTGTCTGGCCTTAAAATTCCAGACAATCTCAATTCAATCAAACATATTGATTGCATTGAGAAGGTCAGACACTTGTCTTCCTTGTCTTTGTCTGTTTATTGTCTTCTTTGAATTGTTGTACTGAATTGAATTTTGTTGTGCTTCTGTACAAAACCAATACAAAGCATTCTGATTCTGATGTTTGGATTGTGCTGGACAAATAAGTCCAAATCATAGAGGTCACATCCTTGGATCTCACAAGACTGAAAGGACCTGCTAAAATGTGTTGGTACTAGATATCACAGGGCACCTCCAGCATTCTTGTGGAGTTCATCCTTCGATGGATTGGGGTATTTTCAGCAGCAAAAGTGCACCAAAATACTAACAGACACATGACCATGATGTTAAGCCTTATGAGTGTTTAGTTTGTCTACAACTTTGGGCATGACATGAAATACAACATCAACACTAATACAGAAATGTTCTATAGTTAATTGGAAGGAGCATCAGCCTTAAAGAAAAATAACAGTGGACTTGTGAATGTTGCATTCTTTAAAACTAAAGACATTGGGATTAAACCCATGTTTACAAAAGAATTCAGAGTTTCAGAATTTCCAGACGCAGTTATTTTATTATTTTGTAAACTATGTATAGCATGTATAATGTGTATGCATAACTTGTATGTACATTTCAGACGGCTGTATTCATACTTAACAAACACAAAACCACGTATACCAGGATAATCCTAATTGAATAATGATCAATGATCGTGATTTGAAGATTTCACTAATTTGTCTAGCCAATTGAACAGTTTTCATTGTTGGAGCAGATTGTGAGTTAAAGGTTGGGGTATTTTGGGGGAAATGAATTATCTTACTCTCTTGTTAAAACATGTTGCTCGAATCTTATTTGTTATTGTTTTCCTGCATCTCATCTTGTAATAAAGAATTTATTTCTTTTTTTGACAGTCTATTCAAAAGCGTTATTTTTGCTGTCATATGTGCACATAGGACATGGGTTTATATTGACCTTCCTTACTCAATGTGGAATAAAAGTGTACAACAACTGTAGCTGTACATGTTCTATTATTTTGCCACATCTTGTGAGAATATTCATTTGCAAAAACATGTACAAATATATTAAGCATTTCTTTTTTTGTGACTAGATTATAAACTGTCTTTATGTATTATTCCAAACAATAAAATATTCAGGTGTGAATATTCAGCAGCACCAGATATTAAAAACAATATATGAAAACAAGATGAATGATATCATCAAAAATAGTATCAATAATAATATACTGTATAATGTAAATACTCTACAGTTATTAGAGATAGGAATATTTAACTCGTGATCTAAGGAATGTGCAAATGAGTTGGATTACTTTTCAAAACATTTACATAATGTGCATGTGTTTGAAGATTTTAAAAATTCCTATATGTATATATTTTTTTTCCCCTACAATTTGCAGCCGCTTGTCATTACTTGGAACCACAGAATAATGCTAAGAAGAAAAATGCATAATACATATTGATAAAACGTCAGATGAGCTTGTGGTCACATTGCGAATAGTAAATTGCCTCATGTCAAAAGCGCTGCAAAGTACTTTAGCTCTCAAACTCAATAGCCTAATTTAATTGCATGTAATTATTTTACTATTAAATTAAGTAAAAGCAGATATTAGCCTCAACATTATCTGTATATGTGCTGAAGGCCAATAATAAATCAATGTAGGCAGGTATTTGTAGAAAAGCTCACAAAAGACATGCTGCAAAAATAAACCGTGGCTGGGATTTCCTCCTATCACCTGTTTATCTTGTAATTTTGAGGCAGGAAAGTATTTTAATCCTGAACTAATTTTGTATAATTTTATTTTATATTCACAAATAATATTGATTTCATGTAACAGAGTTGTTGTAATTAGTTTGAGAAATGCTCTTTTATTTGACCCCCAAAAAAAGTACTTACTAAAGACAAACTTTTTTTTTTTACTCTGTACATTGGCAAATTTCAGTTTTCTTGAGATATAAAGAACTAGACATTTCCAAATTTTGCTGTTTGCCTTTGGAATGTATAGTTTGATTATTTTTGCCTTACAAGCAGCTTTTCCCTTTCAGATGCATAACATAAGCTGCTGTCAGCCTTTGAAATACTAATACCGTTAAATTTTCCGGAATGTTTCACTATGTCCAGCCTAAATAAGCCTACCCTGGAGCCTCAAGCTAAACCCTCTCCAGTCAGAAAGGTCTCATTCCCACAGCACACCATGGGAAACACCTTTAAGCAGACATCCTGACCATGCAGTGGCAGGTTCAGGGCCTCCACTCTGGCTTAAAGGTTGTTGTTTGAACTCTAGTTTTGTAAATGAATAGATTCTTTGTTTTGCACAGCTAATATTTAATAGCCACTAGCAATTGAAAAGCACTGAAACACTTTCCTGATCACACGAGCATTTTCTCCATGACGTGATATGAATAATCTCCAAATTTGGTGTATTATGTGTCTTACAGGTTGAATTACTCCTTACATTTGTGATGAATTAACAAACTGAGTGCAGTCATTCCACTTTCATTATTTCAATATATGAACATCATAACTGCAATTTAAAGCAAAACACAATTTCACTGCATTGTGTTGGAGATTAGTACCAGTGATACTTTTATGCACAGTCTTGAAATTATTGTTCAGTAACTTTCAAAAAAGTATTTCCACTGAGTAAACCTTGTGGAGAGTGAGTACATTTTGAGTTACACCACAGACTTGAAACCTATGAGTTACAGTCGGTCAGCTCTTATAGGCTTGCAGCAGACTTTGAAGCCAGCAGCCATTATACCAATAAAATTTATACTACTGTAGATGACAGCATTAAGACAAAGGATAAAAATGGATCTTCAGAACTGAGATCCACTAACTTTTCACACCCGAATGGCTTGAGTGTCTGCGATGGACTGGCGACCCCTTCAGGATGTACCACACCTTTTGTCCACCATTGACCGCTGGCCTTTGACCTCGCAACCCTGCAAAGATAAGCGTGCTAATGGATGAATGGATGGTCTAAGTGCATAATAGCCTCTTGTACATTTTGTACCATGCTTGTCTCACCTTATATTGTTTCACAATTTTCCCATACAGTGACAATGCATGCAGGCTAAAAGTCGTACTATTTTAGCCATTCCCGAAATCCTCAATCTTTTGGATTATGACAATATTTTTCTTCCACTGGTGTTGAAAGGAATAATGATCTTGTTATACAGTGTACTGCAGAGGAATGCAGAGGGCTATGATTTTTTTTTCTTTTGGTCACACTTGAACGATAAAGTAAATTCAAAATATTTTTTCAAATGCTGTTTCAATCAGGAAATGCTTTGACTAGAATATGTCTAGGTGTGCTCATGCTCAAATCTAAAGAATAGGCAAGAAAGTAATTGACATTTATCAGTCAGGAACAGGTAACATAGCCACGTCTTAGGCTTCGGGACTCCAGTGAACAGCAGTGAGAGCCACTATCCACAAAACAGAAAACATAGAGCAAACATGGTTGGTCACTTTACCAACCAAAAGTACTCTAAGAGGAAACTTCAGCCAGGAAATCTCAAAAAACCCAGAAAAACATTTATAACAATTAAAGCCTGACTGACATTAGTTAGGAGCAAAGTTCATTTTTTAATAATAAGACAGAGGCTCTGCAAAAAAAAAAAGGCATTTCTCGGAGTAAATGCTATTTTTAGAAAATATTAGAAAATATTCAGAAAATATTTCTTGGTGTTTCCCAAGTCTTCCAAAGCACAACAAGTTCATCTCAAACTAGAAATATTTAGTATTGATTTGGCCTGTTTAAGCCTAGACTTAAACATGACTAAGTTCCTGTGGCATAATTTTGAACATTACACACATTACATTTCTGGTTAAAAACCCTCCAATTGCATTGAAAAGTTATTTACAAGGTTGTAAAATGACTCACTCCACATTGTTAGTAACTAGTAATTTGGCTAGTTACTAGTAAGGCTAGTAACAAGTAAGGCTAGTAACTAGTAAGGCTAGTAACTAGTAAGGCTAGTAACTAGCCTAACTTGTTACTAGTCAGGCTTATGGGGAAATTACTTTTTCACACAGGGCCAGAATGATTTACTCTGCTTAATTTTGTCTGATAATTTACCTTGTTTGATGATATGAAACATCTGACATTTCTAAAACCAGAAAAATGTCTAGTTATGTTTTTGCTTGCTTTGTTTGTTTTACATTGTAGGGTCTGGACAACAGGTAGGACTGGGCTGGTTGAACATTTGCTTTGCGTTCATTTTCAGCCAACGAAAGGGTGATATGGCAGTTCTGGAGGAAACATCACTTGAAATTTATCTCAGTGGAACCTACTGACCAGCGCATAACATTTTTTGGCTAAAACTGCAGATCTTTGACAAACATTTGAGCCAATGCTGTCAACCCAAATTCCTCACAAATTATTTTTAAGCGTTTTATTGTTACCAAACCTTTCTGAGAAACAGTTGCAGTTACACAGGACACTAAATAATATCTGACTTATTAGCAAATACCAAAAAATGACTCTACTTGGCTGCCTTGAATGATGTCTCCATCTGGACATGTTTGCTTTGCCGAGTTTACATTTTAGGTATAGACTGCTACATGATTTACAACTAACCCTAACATATTCTTTTTTTATTTGGAAAAATATATCTAAAGTGAGTTTGATCGTGTTTTCAGAAAGGACTAACTAGTAACTTTAATTTAGAAATGTTGAAATCTTGTACAATAGTAATCACATGTCTCATAATCATTATGAACAATTTAACAATTAAGCCATATTTGTTTAATTTGAACAACATATAGGAATACATGCTTTTGGTTATATCTGGACTGAAAACCTGTCTAACATTTTCAAAAGTGGTTTCCGTCCACAGCTGTTGCAGGCTGATGTCGTATTTTCTCAAAAAGTATTTTTTGCACTTTGTGATAGATGTTGCAGGTGTCTATTAATGTTCCAAGCTGGGTTTTGCAAACATAAAGATGAAGAAAGCAGCCTTGACAAGTGTAATGCAGAAGCAATAAACTGTATGATTTATTGCAGTCTGTCCAACTGAATTATGGCTGATGTAGACGATTAAAAGACCTGCTGAGCTGCTTTTCTGTATCACAATTTTTAAATAGTTTTTGAGTGACAGTTATTTATGTAGTGCTCCACAGGGAGTAGGCACAAAACTCTTTCAGCAACAGATAATACATTAATTGAGTAAACTCCTGAGGTTACTCAGCAATAATCCAAAACAGAATAAAGCAGATGGATATCTGAGCTTTCCAATCAGCAAATTAAATTGATGAAATGAGAAACTGACTAAATTCCATGCCAAAATTGCTTGCAAAATAAAACATAGTTTTGTCTATATAAGTTTATTCTTATATCTGTATGACATAAAAAAAGAAGAAAAAAAAAGAAAAAGATCAACAAGACTTTAATATGATTTTCAGCTAGTCTTTTTTTTTTGAGGCTGTAGAAACTAAGAAAATGCACAAAAGAAAAATCGGAATTATACTAACTTGAAGAAAGAACTACAGAGTTTATATTTCTACAAGTGTAACGTGACAACCAATACTGTAAAACCTCACTTTAAATTTGGACTTCCTCACAGTATAACCGTACCCTGTAAAACATTTTTTTTAGGTTGATATGTAAGTGTTCAAATAACCATTTAATGTAAAGTCATGAGAAAAATATGTGAACCAAATTCTTCTCCATATTCAAGTCCATAAATATGACATCCAAGTGAGCTGTCTCTTCAGAGAACAAGGCACTGGATATAGCATCTGGCTGGCAGACATTGAAACATTTTGCCTGGATTGGTGCATCTGTCTCAATGTATGCCACATCTGATCAATATTTTCAAACCTACTCCTCCACATGAACTTGAGCTTTCCCCAACAAATATTTGGTCATTCTCCAACACAGGTTTCAGGAGTCTGTCAGATGTCTTTATGTGTTGAGATGATTTTGATATGCTTTTTTATTATTATTATTTCTCTCATCTGCCCTATTTTCCTCCTTCTGACTTGAAT